CCGCGCTTCTCTGTCGCGGAAATGTTCATTTGACCCGCTGCGCAGTAGAACGTATTGCAAGAGCAGCTGCGCAGTAACTAACGGTTGTCATGGATGATAGAACAGCATAGTAAACACATTAGTAGTCCATAGTATGTCTCTGGACGGCCAACGGTATCCAGTCGGTAACCGCTTCTTTTTCAAAACGGAGGGGCGTGTCCAATTGCGTTCCGGGGCGGCGCGCGCACATTTCCAATTTGTTCTTCGTGCGCGCGTTGAAACAGCCGGCGTGCGCGCTCTACTTGACTGCGCGCGAAGCCAGACTTCCAACGAATCTGCGCGCACGCGGAAGCTAGACTTCCTACGAATGACGGAAGTTACCTTCTTTGGTGAACTAATTGACATTCCTAAGCACGACTGCCACGTACGTACGCATATCGACAACCCGGAGTAGTTGCCTCACGCTAATGCGCTCAGCAATCATACCATGTGTCCTTTGTTCTGCAGTAGTAGCATCACCTGTAGTTACTGAGGCTGAGGAGGTCTGAGAGGGTTCGCCTGCAAAATGTTACATCATACATAATTATACGAACATCAGCAAAGAATGATCCAATGCTCAATTTCTGTAAACTATGACTCACATGGAGTTTGAATCAAGAGATATTTGGTGGTCAGATCTCCATACATTTCACTGTTGCTGGTGCAGATCCACTCCTTGCCCTGGATGTAGGCTGGGTGTGGTCTGTCTGTGTGGGGTCTCGGACACACGATTGCCGGCCGTGGCTTGTTGTCGGAGTAGCCCAGAGTCTCGTCCACGGTCTCGATCCCACCAAAGACAGCCTTTCTCACGTGCCCCCACAGCTCCTTCTCCCACGTCTTTGAGGTGAACACGTGAACCTCGAAGTACTCGTAGCGGTCAACGAAGGTCACCGACCCGGGATACTTGGGGACCTCGAACTGGATGCAGTCGCGATACAGACACGAAGGCTCCTGCGACGAGAGATGCAGCTTCCAGGAGTAGGGGCTGTGGTTTTCAGGAGAGAGGACGTGGGACATGAGGGAGCAGAAGACGCCACTCTGGGGACCACCGTCGGGGAAGTCCACCACTAGGGCTCCGGCTGACGAGCACCTCTTGTCCATGTCGCTGGCAGAGATGTGTCGGAGGACGCTCGGCATGAACCAGGTCTCTGGACCCTCCTCGTTCCACAGCCTGGCAAACACCAGCAGCTCCTCCAGCAGGTGGATCAGATCGTCACAGCTGAAGACCCCTTCCTTGTAGTGGCTGCTGAACCTCCGGTCTTCCAAAAACTTCTTTGTGATTCGACCAAACTTCATGAACTCCTGCCAGCTGGGTGGCAAGAGATCCACGTCTTCTGCTTCACCTGACGACAGTTCCTTCTCTGGAGAGGGATCCTCGGGTGTCGATGCTGCAGAGTCTGACGATGTCTCTGACGACTCTTCTCCTGCAGCTGACGGCACTTCTGATGATTCACTGGTAGAATCTGACGCTGGCTCAGAAGCATTGCTGGCATTTGATGGCGTCTCGAGTGGTTCGGTTGTCTTCTCCCCAACATCTGGTGTGTGTTTCTCTTCTGGTTTTGTGTCGTCAGAGGATTCGTCTTCCTCTTCCGGCTCTCGCAGCTCAAACATGAACTCCACCAGCTCCGAGACCTTGTCCAGCAACACTTGTGGGTCGACGAACACGGTTTTTGGGAGGATGGTGCGGAAATAGAACATGAGGCTCACTTCGTGGAAGTGGTCCAAGGCAACGTCGAAAGAGTTCTCCGCCAGCCCCAGTGACTCTGCCACCTTCAAGCACTCCTGCCGACTCATCACCATCCTCCCCAGTCTCTCCGCGATGCTCCTCAGCTTCTCTTCAAATGCCAGCCACCGCACGGGCAGCTTCACCTTGATGGGCCGGCACTGCTCCAAGACGTAGCGTCGGATCCGCTCTGCCGTCTTCTTGTCCAGATGGTCTGGTTTCAGAGCGTTCATCTCAAAGATCAACTTCTCGGTGGTGGCCCAGATCACCTGACTGGCAAACTTCTTTGGAATCAGCTTTTTTCAATCGTTTGTTCTTGTCTCCCACCGTTTCTGAGAGACACTTGTGCAGCTTGTCTCGATGGGTGCCAAGGAAGAGCAGCTTGAGGGGATCTCCCTTCGTTTTGGAGACAAACGTGTGCATGGTCCGCATGCTCAGCTTCAGGTTCTCTTCATTTGTCCGGGTGGACCGGTAGGGCTTGGACACGGCTCTTCCCCTTCGGTAGTAGCCGATGTTTGGGCGGTGGTCCAGTGGCTGGGAGAGATCGATGACCAGAATGCAGGCCGACGTCTGCCCCAGGAACACCGTCATGGCATCCACAAACTCGGGCTGGCCTCCGCTGTCCACGATGTACACACATGTTTCAGTGAAGACGGTCTCCAGGGAGTCGCTGGGGACGTTGATGAGGGATATGAACTCCTCCTCCACCTCGGATGACTCCAGCAGGGATTCCACCGTCACCTCTGGGGCCGTGTCAGACGACTGGTCACCACTGGCCGTGGCTGCCGTACTGGAGGCAGTGGCTGAGGCTTTGGTTTCTTCTGTGGCTGCTGGTGAGGATTTATGGGGAGAGGATGCTGACTCTGCTGCTTTGGGGGAGTTGTGTTTCTCTCTGACTACAGTTGGTGGCTGGCTGGCTGGCTGGCCTAGTTTCTGGGCACGGGCTCTCAGGATGCGGGCAATGTATTGCTTCTTCTCGTCTGCCGTCTTCTTCCTCCACCTCACCTCCTTCCCTTCCACAAAGACCACCTCGGTTTGGACGGGTCTCTTCAGGAGTGGTGTGCTCTCTCGTTCTCCCTCTGCCAGTGGCTCCTCGCCAGTCAGTGTCTCTAGGGACGTTGACTTCCCGCTGCCTGCAGTACCCACCATTGTCACTTTTGGTGATGAGTCGTTCTGTGATTCCACGTTTCATCTCCTCTTCATAGATCTTCTTGGCCTTGTTGCGACCTGTCAGAGGTAATATTATGCTATACTTAATAATATCCACACAAAATATGCCTGAGAAGTGGGTTCGACTATATTGGAAGGACTCAGTTACGTCACTGTGTCAGAGAGGGTGGGAAAGTGTGTCAAAGGTTTGCCAGGCGTCTATGCCACATTCCGCGTGTTTCAATGATAGCTACTTGGCACATTAATAGGCACGGTTGCAAGTTTTTGCCATATGGTTAGATGCACTGCGCTACGCGTGGTGGATGTTTTATGGTCATCTCTGCAGTCAATACGTAACTCACCAGCTAAACGTTAGAAAATTGCAAAACTATACACAAGGTTCGCTAATGCAACTCGCCTAATAATGTGGAAGCCTAAAAACTTTCAATAGCTGTTGAGATGGGGAGACAGACTTACCAGTGGGGAACATGGACTGGAGTCTGTCAAGAACATTGTGGAACTGCTGATCATCATATCCACCACCACACCTGTAGAGAGCATCTGAGACCAGTTCCCATGTTGGGTGGGGATGTTGGGTGTGATATATTCTGATGACCTCATCTATCCTTCCCTCGTCACTAGTGAACTGAGACCTGATCTGGTCCAACTTGGACCGTGGGACATCCAGTCCTCGACCAAACCCCTCCCACTTGTTAGCTGGCAGTGTGTCCAGTGCTGCTCTCATGTTGGAGGGAGTGAGGCTGGGATCTGAGAGTAAACAGACAGTTAACTATGATTGGAGAGTGAAGCAAGCCTGTACTGTTCTCCATATGATTATCTTACGATGGTGATGATGATAATGGCATTGTTGCATATACACAATAATTCTAATTACGTGCTCTGCTCTTGGTACAGATGTTTCATACAAAAACTTTAATGCCTCTACAGAGCAGCCACCAGCGCAAATCAGGTACGGTATGCCTATTAAAGGGCTCAGAGAGGTCTGCTCCAGGAATATCGGCTGGAAACAACGTGACTTGCTGGATATCCGTAGCCATACGCGAAGGACCTCACGTTTCTCGTGAACGGTAAGTGCTACGCCCTCGGCTCGAAGTACTACCGGTAGGTCTGGAGTTCAACTTTTCGTGATGCTTCACTTAAAAAGAAATACGGTATAACGTTTGCGTAGCGCAAATTTTAAAAAGCAAGTCCTATACAAAAACGCGGAGAAACGGGACCCCAGCCGTGACGTCACGGGCAATTAAAACGTTACTCTACATTCCAACGCTTACGTGCAACTGGGCTATTGACAGACTAGTGTTTCAAGGACACATGGCACCTAACACTGGTTAGAAAAAAGGCTTACGTTTTACAAACATGGTGGCTAAAAGTAATACTATTCACAGGGCTCCAATTGTGCTACTCTGAATATTAAGTTAGTAACAAGTAAGCAGCAATGAGGGATGAAATTGAAACACCAATCACTCACCATATGTAGGTGGTAGATGTTGTCTGACTTCCTCCAGGGCTGTGTGCTCCTCCATAAACCATAATACTCCAGCTATATCCTCCCATGATGCACCAGGTAGGGTCTGGAGGTAGTACTGTAGACCTGCAATTCTTTTCTCCTCTTCAGTTGGGTGTGATGGACTGGCCCTGATATCATCCATCACTGAGTAGGGGACATCAAGCACCTCCAGCAGCCCCCACTCATCAACATCTCTCCTCCAGAACTGTCCCACAGAGGACACAGCAGGTAGCAGTGTGTGTGGAGTGAGACTGTCATCTGGTAGGGAGGATCACCACTTGTGCATCACAAGCTATAGTAGATTAAACACCAGGCTGCCACACATATATATATGGGGTTTGTCATTTATTCACGTGTGTTTACATGTATATAAGATTATTTTTGTTTGCTATTTATGCTTCAATTGAGAAGAAAATTGACCACGGTTCGAACTACAATTAGTTTATGTATAGAGAGCTGTAACATTTCACGTAATTCTGAATAGCTCGCTAATAAAAAGTTGCATCTCTTCTTTACCAGTGAGAGGTTCAGCATAGGATCTTATGGAGTCAGCCATTTTGGTTTCTTCTATTTGATCTAGTGCCCAAATGAGTCTCCTCCTGCTTGCCAGTGGGTCGGTGTTAATCCAGTGAGAAATCAGCTGTTTCTTCTGCTCCATCTCATCTGGGAACTTCTGTCTAATCTCCTCTCTCTTTGACGGTGGTATGTAGAGATAGTATCCCAGTCCCCTCTCCCCCCACCAATTCCCCACCTCCCTCACTTCTCTCATCACATTGGAGAGAGTGAGAGGAACACCTGTAGCAACACACACCAGAGACAACAGTCAACACACTGGGTGTAGTAGAGAGTCCAGCTGTGTACAGTGGAACCTCTGAACAAGGGACACTATGGGGCCAACGATTTTATCCTTTGTAGGGAGGTCGTCCCTATCTCGGAAGTCAAATAAAGTATTAGCATATGGGATTGAAACAAATGTCCTTTGTAGAGAGGTCGTCCTTATCTCAGAGGGTCCCTTATCAGAGGTTCTACTACTGTATTACCTGTGTCAAGAAAGTGATGATGTTAGCCCAACTACAGTATAACCCTTAGTAGTAGTGTGTGTTATTAGCCCTAGTATATATATACCCAGCTATGTATGTATACTGTTTACGGAGTACTTAAGGCACAAGCGTATGCAGTTGAGGGGACTCGGTCATGGCGGAATGCTAATAGGGGGTCATACGTAGACCCCATGGCACATTGATGCAAAGTGAGCAAAACCAGGAGTTGGCTGTATAGCTCCTGGACGTTCTAAACTGCATTTATGTGTGTGCGCTTGAGTATGCATTTACTCGTGGTCTCCCGCTAGTAGCTTGCTGAGAATCTGACACGAGCTAGCTACAGTAGATACACATTCGAGAGTCATGTCGTTCATTGTGACTTCTTGTGCATCAAAGGTATACAGAGCGAGAAAATCAGGTCGAGGTAAGCCAGAGCAATTATGCTTATTGGCTTTTTCGCTTTTCATGGCACATCTCTCAAACACAGTCGTTTCAGGAAAATTGCTATTTTATTATTTTAGGATTGCGTAGTTTGGAAGCTGTTGGTATCACTCATTGGCCGCCTCATAGCCTGAAGTGCCAGAATAGCTGCAGACAGATAGACAGACAGACACACACAGACCAAGTACTGTAAACCCTCGCTGCATGTACATGCCCGCTGATACTGTCTGCTGTCTTTTGAGTAGCAAGCCACACACATAAAAAGAAGAAGGGTGACCACACTCACTTCTCTTTCCTCTCCTGCTCCTGGAGCTTTCAGGACTCTTCCTTCTGCTCAGTGGCACATGTTTGGAGTCTGCAGAGATCATTACTGGCTGTTAGTGTGTTTGTGGCTCTACGTACGTTCTCAATAGATATTTTCTCAAAAGCATCAGCTAAGCTCATATTTTCACGTGAGAATCAGGTAGCTTCCATCTTTGATCAACCATAGCTACTGTAGCTAGCTACACAGGTCGAGGCCAGGAATTATCGGTGGGTGCAAAGCTACTTACATCTCTTCCCTCGTCTGGGACTATGAGGACTCCTCCTTCCTGGTTTGACGTCCGCCATGTCTTGATTGCTGAGCTATACTCACTGGGACGAAAGAAGACACCGAACAGCTCGTTGGCCCACGCCCAAAAAACGCGGAGCTACGCCCATTTTTCTGTACTCAAGATCACGTGATTAGAGCGCATGCGCTGCGAATGTCACAAACAGCACAGAAGAAGTTTACTATCAGAGGAGTCAGTTCTATGGTTGATGTACTTAGTGAAGGAGATGGTGTCCTGGTCACAGAACACCTGAGAGAGAGAATTCCCTAATAGGGACACTGACAGCAGCTGTGAGAAGAAAAAACAGCAAACTGCACTGAATCTGGCAGCAGTACCTA